AGGCATCTGCTCAGCTCCTGGGCTCCTGCTGCTCTGACTCACATGTAAGGAAAGAAAATGCATAGATTCACCCAGCTCATTGTAACCAACACTGCTTCAAGGAAGTTCTCTAAGTAATGCATAATTATAGGTTGTCTTTTAATGTTTTCAGTGCCAGGTGTTAGATGTGACATCCAGCTGACCCACTCTCTATCCTTGTCTGCAGCTCTAGGAAACAGAGTTATCACTTTCAGAAACAGTCAGGGCACTGGTAGTTACTTAAGCTGGAATCAGCAGACATCAAGAAAAACTTCTGTTCGCTTTAGTCTAAATGTAATGTAAATAAAATGACATAATTTTGCATATAAATTACTGAGACTCTCTTGCATATCTCTGTTGAGATAAACATTTAACATAACAAAACAAAACCAAAACTTCAAATGAAAATCTTGTCAGGTGTTATGTCATGACATTGCCACTAGTGGGAAATAAAACTCCACAAAGAGAAAAAAAATGATCCTTGACTTTAGAAACCCTGGGAAAGCATGGGTGATGCTGCCTCCTTATAAAACGGAGTTTGAAGCTGGGGAGCATTCTGCCATGCTTTCATAACTCTCATGGCAACTGGGACTATAATTACTGGGGGAGTGTGTATGTCATGTTTCCTAATGTACAGGTTGCTGACTATTCCATATTTTATTTTGTGAATTGTAATCACTTTACAAGGCTGACACTTCCACCAGGATTCTTATACGGAACTCATTACGTACAGGTCAGCAAGGTGAGGGAAGGAGGGTGGACTTTGCAGACATGCAGCTCTCATGAGAACATATGCACACACCATGCTCAGTTGTGGGAGATGAGAAGAGGCTGCAGTGTCTGTGGTGACCCTAGTGGGTTCCCAGAGTCCTCTGCAGTGAGCAGGTCACTGCTTGTCCTCAAGGACACGGATTGCATCCTGATCTTCATGATGCTCAGGATGAGAGTGAGGAAAGGCCATGTGGTGGTGACTATCCATTGTTCCCTAGAGTGTTTTCTCAGGTCAAAATTTAAAATGACCAGTTATACAATTAAACTTTGTATTATTAATATGTTAATAACTATGTTATTACATATAAACAGTCATATAGCTTCTATGTTCATTTTTATTTAAATTCTTCCTTTCTTTTTCATTATTAATATTTTTTATTGTCAAAATACCGTACAGATGGATTACAATTACATGAGCAAGGTAATGTGTGCATTTCTTATCAAACATTATTGCCTCTTCCTTTGTTTCCCCTTACCATCCCTACCCTCCCATATCCCCCAGATACAAAGTTGTGAAGTTAATTTTTGGATATAGAATCTTGTACATATCATTGCTGCAATGGGTCTATCTTTATCCCTATTTAAACAATAGTCCCCCTTTCTAATCTGGTAGAAGTTATATTAAGTGAAGTAAGCCAGGCCCAAAGAAACATAGGTCCCTTGGTTTCCCTTATTTGCAATAACTAGAATATGTCTGAGACAAGCAAAAATGATCAGACAAGTTGATGTTAGGCAAAATGAACCCCAAGATAAAGACTCAAATAGTTTTTCTTTCTTGCTATTGTTTCTAGTATATTTATAAGATGATTCTTTGTTGCTTTGTATGTCCCTCCCCCGTGGTATAACCCCTGCTTTCACTGTATTTGATCCTGGTATAATTTGTGGAGGGGAAGGGAAAAAACAAATTGTTTAAATGGGGATACAGGTGGACCCATTGCAACAATGAGATGTAAAAGATGCTATGTCGAAAAACGAACTTTACAACTTTGGCGTTGCGGGGGGTGAAGGGAGGGAAGTTGAGGGCGGTGGAGATGGGAAGGGATGGTAAGGGGAAACAAGGGGAAACAAAGGAGGACACAACAATGCTTGATAAGAAATGTACTCATTATCTTACTCATGTAATTGTAATCCCTCTGTACGATATTTTCCCATTTAAAAAATTTTAAAAAAAAAAGAAAGAAATTGGCTTCAGTGGATTTTGGACCATCCTGAAGACACTGAAGACTCTCCACTGCATCCCAGCCACCTTTCCCACAGAGTCAGCCCTTCCCTGAAGTCTGGGTCTCTCAGAATTTCAACAAGGTCCCAGACCTAATTCAGGTTCATGGCTCAGCCTATAAGCACTTCCTTCTTGCCTCATAGAAAGCAGTCTTGATCTCCTTCTGTTCCCACATCCTTACCCTCGTTTCTCAGCCAGGAGCTCCTTCCCTCACAACTAAGCCAAACTACAATTCTGGTTTGAGACCACTATTCCATGTATTCCAGTGCCTGAAGTCTGTGTGGACTGGAAATTCACCAGCCAGAAGTCTGCACTTGATAAATCAGCCCTGGAGCATGGCTCTTGAGATTGTATATACATATATATGTATATATAATATATAATATGTAATATATTATTGTAAAGATACTGTACAAAGGGGTTACAGTTACACGAGTAAGGCAATGAAAATTTCCTATCAAGCATTTTTACAAGTCTCTCGAGATTTTAGAGACTGGCTTCTATCAATCCACACAAATAGATGTTCTTAGGATCTCCCTTCCTCATCCTATTAATATGTCCCCTATAATTTACCAGGTGGCCTTCACTCTTACCCAGCAGCCAGCTGCCTTTTTCTTGGTTTTTGAGTACCCACTTTGTCTTGCAGTGCATGGTAGAGCTGAAGTCAATAGCAGCTACTTGGGAAACCATGTGATAAGATCAGAAGTGAAATATCAGAAGAGTGAAAGGGATGGGTAAAACTATTAGGTAGGACAAAATTGCAAAGTACTTCTTGGATCAGTTATGTTAGTATGTACTGAGGAGAGCATCAATGTTGTAGAAGCTAAGGATGATCCAAACACAACTCAGATGCAGATTATATAGTGAATGATATTGAAGAGAGATCCTACAGTATTGGATGATGTGCCTTTCATGCTGATCTCCATGTGGGTGGGGGCTATTTACTTCATTATAGTTTCACTGCCTCTGGTCAGTTGTTCCCAAGCTGAAGATGTCCTCTCCATACTGTGTGGCTTCAGTTAATTGTCCTCACTCTTGACAACAGTGTATTTTATACCTTCTGAATCTTCTTGGGTCATATGGTCCTAAACAATCATTAAAAACTGCTTTACTGTCTGTTGGTGGTAGTTTATGCCGGTAACACCAATTACACAGAAACTGGAGATCTGAAGCTCTTGGTTGGAAGCCACCTTGGTACAAAAGTCCATAATTACCTTACCTTCAATTCACTACCAAAAAATCTGGAATTGAAACTGTGGCTCAAGTGGGAATGCACCAGCCATGAACACAAAAGTTCAGGAAACCTTTTAGACCCGAAGTTAATTCTCCAGTCCTAGCATGCAAAATATTGCTTTAGTAGCCAGGCGCAGGTGGCTCATGCCTGTAATCATACCTACTCAGGAGGCTGAGGTCTGAGGATCATGGTTCAAAGCCAGCCCTTGCAGGAAAGGCCATGAATCTCTTCTCTCCAATAAGTCACGAGAAAACAGGAAGTGGCACTGTGGCTCAAGTGGTAGAGTGCTCAACCTGAGCTGAAGAGTTGAGGGACAGCACCCAAGCCCAGAGTTCTATGACCAACAAATACACACACATATATATCTATATATATATGTATATATAGATATAGTTTTACTTAGGATCTAAAAAATGTAACTTGAAAGATTTTCAGGCTAAAGGAACACAGTGAAGTTAAAGTGGTTGAGCCCTTGAGTTAGAGAACACCTCAGCATCTGAGAGGGGACAATTTCCATTAAGATAACAGACATAAACGTCCTCTAAAAATTTATTAAATATCTAGGACAACAGTGCATATGCTCACCAAGCTAGCTAGGATACTATGTATCTTCCTAAGAATAAGTGGGAAATGTCTAATGTGAGCTGTCCTGTCCTAGAGGGAGGTGATGATGAAGAGCCTTCAGAAGCCGACGAGGGGGCGGCTATGGCAGCTGCGCGGCTGCCGTGGAGCATGCGCCCGGCTTTGAATGAGCAAGGTTGAGATGCAGCCCTTCGTTGAACCGTCGACCCTGAGCTCAAGGAAGCGACTGGCAGCGCGTGCTTGTGCCTCATGTGCGCGCAAGTGGCCTGTGGCAGCTGGGAGCCTCCGGGCGGGCTGGGAGGGGGAGGGGCAGGTTTTGATTCCCACCATGGCCATCACTCAGTTTCGGCTATTTCAAGTTTGTACCTGCTTAGCAACAGTATTCTCATTCCTAAAGAGACTAATATGCAGGTCTGGCAGAGGAAGAAAATTAAGTGGAGACCAAATAACTTTGCCAACTACAGTTGATTATTCTTCAGTTCCAAAGCAGACAGATGTAGAGGAGTGGACCTCCTGGGATGAAGATGCACCCACAAATGCAAAGGTTGAAGGAGGGAACGGCAATGTGGCATCACAACAAAATGCTTTGGACCAACTGGAACCTGACTATATTAAGGACATGACACTAACTATAAGGAAAACTCAGAAAATTGTTATTAAGAAGAGAGAACAGTTAAATGTTGGCATCCCAGATGGTAGCACAGGTTTCTCCAGTAAACTAGCAGCTACACAAGATATGCCTTTTATTCATCAGTCGTCTGAATTGGGTGACTAGACACTTGGCAAGAAAATACTAATGCATGGGAAGAGGAGGAAGATGCAGCCTGGCAAGCAGAAGAACTTCTGAGGCAGCAGAAAATAGCAGACAGAGAAAAGAGAGCAGCAAAACAACAAAGGAAGAAAATGGAAAAGGAAGCACAGAGGCTAATGAAGAAGGAACAGAACAAAATTGCTGTGAAACTTTCATAACAAATACTCTTCAAATGTCATTGTGCCAGTAGGAGAAATGTGAGCTCCACAGCCCATACAATATTTGTATGGATTTAAGAGTATTTATGGAATACAAATACACTGCTTGATTTTACTGCATTCATCAGGCCATTCAGGAGACCAAGATTCTCCCAAAGTACTTGGAACTCGTAGTGATTGAGACTCAAAAGGACAGAACAGATGTACGCAACTATTTTCTTCAACATTCTCCAGACATACAACATTGTTTGCTGTAGAAAAATTATTACAAATGGAATACGCCAGTACCTCTTAAGCAAGTATTTCTAGCTAAATAAATGGGTGTAAATAATTTTATGGAGGAAAAGAAATCCGCTATCTATTATGTTTTCCTTCAATGTGTATAATTATAAAATAAATAATTCTACTAAAACAAAGAGCCTTCAGAAGAAAAGGACACCAGTTATTTATAAGTAATGTACAGGGCACTAACCCTAACAGCAGCAGATAGACTATACACCTCAGACCATGAAACCTAATTGCACATATACATTTTTGTTAGCATTTTCCCAATTACCTATGGTTTAACTCCTTTTTAAATATTTTTATTAATATATCTTTAAGTAGTTGTACAAAGAAGTTCTCATTCTGCAAAACAGTATATGAGTACAAGGTGTCTGACAACATTGTCACCCATCCTGACTAAACCAACCCTTCTCTCACTAATTTTTAAATTTGAGATTAGGTGATTACATAAATTTCACAGTATTGTGGAATAGTGATACTTAAAGTCACAAACATTATAACCTTCACAAGGCAAATTGTCATTATCATGGTCTATAAAGTTTGTGAATTCTATGAGCTCTGACAATACAAATTCACATATACTTTTGAAGTATTATCTTTTATTAAGAATTTGGATATTTTCCTTTAACTACCTATCCATTTTCTTGACTATCTTTCCACCTCCACATGCATTATCACTTTTATAACACTTGTGTCTGGGTAATAATGATCCTTATTAATCATATTCTAGGAATTGTGTGTCATAAAATCCACTGTTAACAAATGCAGAGGAATTAAAAAATTAACTTGCCTTGGAAATGATTATCTCTGAGTGACTTACATTAAGGAAAAAACTAGCAAATTTTAGATAATGTTAATTAGATTATTATTCTTCTCACAGGAGACACACCATTTTTTTCCTCATCAGAGTCAAACACATGCTCTAGAAACAAAGTGGAAATCTGGGGTCTTTAGGTCTGTTCTTTGTCACTAAGATATGCCAGTCTGCAACTGCACCCAGCCCTGCCCAGCCCTGCTGATTTGCATGTGCCCATAGCACAGTCTACTTCTTCATATGCTGCTCACGACCTGAGCAGGAGGTTTTAGTCGGCACACAGCACAGACATGAGGTCCCTTCCTCAACAACAGAGCCTCTTGATGCTCTGGCTCCCAGGAAAGGCAGGATACTATCAAGGATTTCTCATGCTGTGTTAACAGAGCTGCTTGGCTCTTTATGGATATATTTGGATAGTAGAATTAACTAAACAGATAATGTTTTCCATATGTCCATTGTCAGGTGCAAGATGTGACATCAGGTTGACACAAGAAACACCCAAGTCTATATTTCTGGAAGACATAGTTACTATCACTTGCAAGGCCAGTCAGGGCCTTAGCAATAGCTTATTTTGGTACCAGTTCAAACCAGGGAAATCTCCAAAGGTCCAGATCCTTTATGCAACTGGTATGTAATCTGGAGTACCATCAAGGTTCAGTGGCATGGATCTGGGACACAATTCACTCTCAGTATCAGCAGCCTGCAGCTTGAAGATGTTGCTACTTTTTCATTTTTTATTTTCACTTTTTATTACTGTCAACAGAGTTGTAGTTGCCCTTCCACAGTAATACAAGTCATAACAAACTTCACAGAGAAGCAGAAGTGAGAGGCTGGGCTGCCCCAGCTGCTCTTCCTGGTGCCTCCACCTGTTGACAGAGCTTCTCAGATCCAGCCAGACTTTTGAGATCATGGGAAAGTATTGCGGAAAAAGTCATGGAGGCATCTTCACACCATAATTCTCTGTCTTTCTGCTCATCTCAAGCAGCACACACAATGCCTATTATGACTTACGAGGCATATGCATCTGTACTCATGTGTAGCTCAGATTGTGTTAATAATTTGCAGTCACCCAATAAAGAAGAAACACTTTTCTGTAGGTCAAAGCAGATTTTTTGTATGTTTTTCCATTGTAAAAATACTGTACAGAGTGGTTACCATTACATGAGCAAGTTAATTAATGAGTATATTTCCTATCAAGCATTGTTGCCTCCTCCTTTTTTTTTCCCTACCATCCCTTCCCTCCCACCTCCACAACCACACCCTCCCACCCCTGCAAAAGTTGTAAAGTTCGTTTTTAACATAGTGTCTTGTATATCTCACTGTTACAATGGGTCAACTTGTATCTCTTTTTAAGTATTTTGTTTTTTCCCTTCCCCTACCTGAATTACAGGAGGGCATATAGAAGATGCAAGGCTAATACAATATAGTTTGAGAAAAAGATTTTGAAAAATAATTTTATAGGATAAAGTCATTAAAAATTTTAAAACAGGGCTGGGAAGGTGGCTCAGTGGTAGAGCGCTTGCCTTGCATGCTCGAGGCCCTGGGTTCGATTCCTCAGCACCACATAAGCAAAAAGAAAAAAGCCGGAAGTGGTGCTGTGGCTCAAGTGGTAGAGCGCTAGCCTTGAGCTGAAGAGCTGAGGGACAGCACCCAGGCCCAGAGTTCAGGACCCACGACCGGACCCCCCAAAAAAAAATTTTAAAAAAATTACTGATTGCCACAGTAAAATCTAATTTGAAATTAAATATAATGTTTTTGTATATGCACACATTGTGTAATGATCTAAAGGAGTTCATTAACTATTTAGTTCATCATCTGAAACATTTTTTATTTTTGTGTAGTCAACTTGTTTTCTTTAGGAAATTAGATCTTTATGACAACTTATATCTAGTTATACCTCAACAATACATGCAAAATTGTAATCTAAGTATCAGAAAATTAATATCTTTTTCATGCTGAATATCACGTTAATTATTATTATTTCTCAATGCCACTTTTGGAAGTCGAATGGAATCATGAATTTGCTATTAACTTAAAAAATATAAAGAAAAATAATAAAGATTTTGTACCTTTATCTTGGAAAGTTAGGTCCGAATTTTTTGTTGCTTGATCTTCTCAAAATAAACTACTCTCTTATTATTTTTACTTCTTATTGTTATTGTATAGGTGATGTACAAAGTGATTACAGTTACATAAGACAGGTAATAAGTAGATTAATTTTTGAACAGTGTCACCACTTCCCCCATTTTCTCCCTTTTCTTCCTCCTGTTCCTTGCCCCAATAGTTGTGTAGTTCATTTTCAACAGTGTCTAGTGAGTATTACTGCTGCATTTGTTGACCATTTGTCCCACCATTCCTATGGCACCCCTTACTCTCTTCAAAATAAAACAAAAAAAATTTATATACAAGACAAGGTTACAGAAAACAAAAACAGCCAAAAAGGAGTTAAAAAAAATGAAAAGCAAAAAACAAAAGATGTAAACCATAATTTTAATTGATTATATATATATGTATATATATACATATATACATATATACATATATATATATATATATATATATATATATACACATCCATTGAAGCTTTTTTTGGGTGTGAAAATATTGTACAGAAGGGTTTAATTACATGGGCAAGGTAATGAGTACATTTCTTATCAAGCATTATTGCCTCCTCCTTTCTTTAATTTTCTCATCTACACACAAGCACCACATCCCCCTCTGCCCCCAGCCAAATTTGTAAAGTTCTTTTTTGCCATAGCATCTTGTACATCTCACTTTTGCAATGGGTCCACCTGTATCCCTATTTAAACAATTTTTTCCCTTCCCCTCCACAAATTATATCAACATCAAATGCAGTGAAAACAGGAGTTATACCGTGGGGTGGGACATACAAAGCAACAAAGAAATCATCTTATAAGTATGCTAGAAACAATCACAAGAAAGAAAAAAAATATTTGAATCCTTATCTTGGCGTTCATTTTGTCTAACATCAATTTGTCTGACCATTTCTTCTTGTCTCAGACATATACTAGTAATTGCAAATAATGGAAATCATGGAACCTATGTTTCTTTGGGCCTGGCTTACTTCACTTAGTATAATTGTTTCCAAGTCTTTCATTTCCTAACAAATGGGGCAATGTCATTTTCTGATGGAGGCATATAATTCCATTGTGTGTATAACCACATATTCTTGATCCATTCATCTTTTGAGGGCATCTGGGTTGGTTCCAAATCTTAGCTATGGTAAATAATGCTGCAATAAACATAGTTGTGCTGGTAGCTTTAGTATGGTTTTGTTTGTGATCATTTGGGCAAATGCTCAAAAGTGGGATTGCTGGGTAATAGGGCAGCTCTATGTGGAGTCTTTTGAGAAACCTCCATACTGCTTTCCAAAGTGGTTGAACAAGATTACAGTCCCACCAACAGTGTAGTAAAGTTGCCTTCTGTCCTCATTCCCTTCAGCATCTGTTGATATTAGAGTTCTGGACTTTTCAGTAAATGGTGCTGGGAAAATTTGTTAATCAGTTGTAGAAAACTAAAGCTAGATCCTTATATATCACTCTGTACCAGGATCAACTCCAAATGGATCAAAGACCTTGGAGTCAAAGCAGACATTCTGAAAACATTACAGGATGGATTCGGAGAAAACCTAGGTCTCCTGGGTACAGGCTGAAATTTTCTTAAAAGAGACCCAGAAACACAACAAATCAAAGAAAGTTTGGACAAATGGAACTGCAAGAAATTCCAGAGCTTGTGCATGGCAAAGGACGTAGCTAGCAAGATCAATAGATACAACGGACAAGGGTTTCATATCTAAAATAAACTTAGAACTAAAAAAATTAAATGCCCCAAAAACAAATCCCCAAAGAAACAACTGCCCGCTAAATAAGTGGGCTAAAGACTTAAAGAGAAACTTCTCTGAAGAGGAAAGAAGGATGGCCAATACACACCCTTCCTTTTTTCTTTTCTTACACTGTTAGATCCACCTGGCAATTTGTATATTGCTCCCTAAGGAGGATCTTCCTTTTTAAGTCTGAAATAAAAGCTCAGCTCTGAACTTGCGTTGACCTGTCTAGACTCCTCATTTGACTCCTAAAAATGAAGTCCTTGTCTCAGCTC